AAAAAATATTATGAAAATTCTGCAAAATTTCACCAAAATGTTTAACTTTTAATCAGCGTCTTTACAAATTGGAATGTTTGCAGTTTTGTTGTCCATTAAAATTTAGTATAATATGCTGAAAATTTTAAGGAGCTAGAATTACCGTTAATTTTTGTATTTTTTTATATGGAAAATTGCGGAGCACCGTCAACAAAAAATTGCCAAAAATCAACGGTAGTGCCATATACAAAAAATTTAAATTAAAAAAACGCAAAATTTTAATAATTTTTGCATAAAATATCTAACTTGGATTTAAATGGTGTTTGTAAGTAATCCGCTATACTTTCATACAAAAATAATAAGCTAAAATGTCACGTCCCAGTTCATATTTGAGTCACTGTATATTCACATAAAATAAAAATCATTGAAATCGGCCCAGTATTTTAAGACTTTTGGGATTAGAGAAAATTCTCCCCGACATGAAAATTTTCTCAGAGATAAGGCTAGCAGTTTCTAATAGATTTTGGGGCGCCAAATTTGTAAAAATGGAAACTTATGGGTGAGGCTTCCTCAAGTGGGCCCCGAATTTACCAAGATTCATATTTTCCAATGATATTCAGGCAGCGCCGAGTTTTGTATTCGAAAAGTACACACTGTAAATTTTGTTGCAAAATGCCAAATAGTTTTTTTAATCCACAATTGAAAATTTTTGCAGTGTTTTGGAAATGTTTATTTTTTTTGAAAGTAAGTATCCGAATGAAAAAATTTTTTGGGTGCGGATTTAAAAAACATTAAACTATACAATAAAATTATTTCCGTTACCAAAGTTTTTTTTTTGCTTTTCAATAATTTTTTATGAAAAATTGAACATTTAAACAATTTCAAAAATGCGTGCATTTCGATATAGTTTGGTCGGAATGAATTTTTATTTGCCAGCATGCGCGCCCAACTCCCGCGCGCATGCGCAACTCGAGCATGAAAAAAAGAAGTGGAACATTCAAACGTGCTTTCTTTCTTGCGCAAAAAGTCAACGCGGTCGCGATCCAGCCGCGAGGGTCGGGCGCGCACGCTGGCAAATAAAAATTCATTCCGACCAAACTATATCGAAATGCACGCATTTTTTCATAGATAAATGCAGAAATGTTTCTTTCATAAGTTGTTGTTAAAAATTTTCGTCCACGAGGCGCAGAAATTGTTTAAATATTCAATTGTTCATAAAAAAAATTATTAAAATGCAAAAAAAAAATATTTTTGTAACGCGAATAATTTTATTGTATAGTTTAATGTTTTTTGAGTCTGCACCCAAAAATTTTTTCATTTACTCTCAAAGAAAAATGAAAATTTCCACGGCAAAAATTTTCAATTGTTGATTAAAAAAAAACTATTTGGAATTTCGCAACAAAATTTACACAGTGTACTTTTCGACTACAAAACTCGGTGCTGCCTTAATATCACTTGAGGAAGCCTTACCCTTATATGTACATATATTTGAATTTTAATAAAAATGGGGCAAATAGCGAAATCGGCTAAAAACGGCTAACTTGTTTTTGCAAACCGGCTAGCAAATCGGCTGCCGGCTAAATCGAATTTTCTCCAGCTATTTGCTATCGCAACCGGCTAAATCTAGCCGGAAAACGGCTAAACTGGCAACACTGCATACCACCTGCTTATCTACATACATATACATATGTACATATAAATGCCGTTAATTTAGTGCATACATATTCGACATGTTCTCTGTGAGTGTGACGCTCTCGCTGCACAGTGGTTCAATACTGGAATTTATTATTCATAATTCACTGGAGCTTTAATTTTTCAACCAATTTAATTAATTTTTTTTTTTGACTGAAAGCTTATGAATCTAGCAAATAGTTGAGCCCGAGTTTTGGATTTTTAGTGCAAAGTGCAGAAAAAGTAGACATTCAAAAAAATCGATTCTCCTATTCTAGTTAGTAAATGTTACATACTAAAAACTAGTTGACAACAATTTTAGGGTCCCCCAAGACGAAAAAAAAAGTACGAGAAAAATTTTAAATTTTATTTACAAAATTCCCCAAAATTAAAAAAAAGGTTTTTAGAAAAATTTTGAGTATGCAGTTTTATATATCATTAAGCTTTAGCCTAAAAAAGTGGAAGTTGTATGTGGCTAACTTTTTTCGCTAGCTTTCGAGCACATCTGTTAATTTGGAAATGAAAACATTTTTTATTGATCGACTTCCAAAAAAGGAGGAGGTTATCAGTTCATCGGAATATTTTTTTTTTATGTATGTTACCGCATAACCAAGTCAACCGATTTCGATAATTCTTTTTGCATCGAAAAGGTAGTGTCTCGGAGGTGGTACCATACTAATCTGGTTTAGATCCAATCATTGGTTCATGAAAAAATTAATATGAGAATTGAAGTTGGTTTTGTTTTTTGCTTAAAAATTACTTGTATTATCAAAAATCAACGGCTAAAAGAGCCACTTGCAACTTGCACTATATTGTACTAAAATTTAGTGATCTATAAAACTGCATACCTAAAATTTTTTTATAAACCAAAAAAAAATTAATTTTGTTGAACATTTTTTATTCATTTAAAATTGTTTATGTTATCGATTCGGAGGAACCCTAAAATTGTTTTCAACTAGTTTTTATTATGTAACATTTGTTAACTGGAACAGGAGAATCGATTGTTTTTCTTTATAATTGATACTTTTCCTGCACTTTGCACTAAAAAAGTTTAATATAATCCAATAAAAATTTAAAAATCAGGCTCAACTGGTCTCTTTCAAATTTAATAAGCTGTCATAAAAAAAATAATAATCAAATTGAGTGCCCAGAAAAGTTGGGGAACGCAACTAATACTAGTTTGAATGTCACTTGACATTGCATCATATGAAATTAAACTGGACGAATTCATATAAGATGGTGTTACTAGAACAGCTGATTTTAAATTTTTGTATCTACACTAGTACGACAGAATGTGAGCCAATACAAAATGGCGTGACTCTAGGATGTCAACAAAATTAAATGACGAAAATTGTCTCCTATTTTCTTTCATTTTGATGTTCTATTTTTCCAAAAATCACGGCATTTTTACTGAAGTGCGCTTGCTACCACCTTAAATGAATACGCCTTGTAATTAGACTTACTAATATGGTAAAATATTCATATTATACAAACGGTGAAAGAAAAGGATCAGTCCAACGCAACGTTGAAAACGTTATATTATTAAGAGCACATTCAAGTTAAAGGCTGCAAATTAAATATTCGTTTTGTTTATATTGAAACTAATTTAATAATTCAATACAAATACAATATATTAATATTAATAAACATAGAAGCAGACCCACATCAACTTCAGTCATACATATGTGCCATTAGCTCATAAATATATGCCATGGCGAGTATCTTATATGAGTTTACATTTGACCAGCGCCACCTGTAACTACTTCAGAAATTTGTATAATTTTAATATTAGCTCAAGTCCACGCATTAGTATTCATATTTGTGTTCAGTTTCATGATCGCGCTCGTCTTCGCGTTCTCTTCGTCCTCGGAATTGTGTATAAGTTAGCTATACAACCCTGTTCAAAGTATTTCAAATCACACCCTCTTTGGTGTGACGCCCTTATGGTGATGCATATGTATGTACATATTCCAATTTTCTAATTGCCTTCATTTAAGTTGAGCTTGATTTGTTAAACAGGTGGCAACTCTCCTTCATACAATTAAGAAATAAAGCCTTTTCAAAACCATTTCGATCAATACCCGTATTGTAATAATTGATTTAACTTATTAAATAATTTGAAGTTAATTTCCTATCAGGTGGCAACTTTTTTCGAAAAAATTAAACGTTATTGCACGTTATTGAGCGTTACAGATCTTGTGATATGAAAAAAAAGTTTTCACGTGTTATGCGTACATATGTCCATAAGGGTGCGCCTTATTTTTAAAATTGGACCCACAAACAAGACTGGCCCTCGACAGGTTCATTTGGTCATAAAAATCTTAGAAAAATTTAGAAAACGATTAACTTCCAAGCCTTACGAGGTATGAAAATGACGTAGCCATATTGGAGATCAGCGCACAAAAAAGTGTCACTAGAAACAAATAAGCTTTTTAACTGAATTATGGGCCCCTTTTCCTCTTTTGTGTAAACTTCAATGAATTAGTGTATGTAAGTTCTCTTGAACCACGTCTTTCCGTGATCCGATTTTGAAAACTCTTCGCAGAGCAAGTTTTTATGACCAAACGAACTTATCTAGGGGGAGTCTTGATTTGTAGCTTACAAAAAAAATTTATCCATACAAATAAGGCGCCCATTTACTTAGCACATTCTCAATACATTTTCATTGGAGATAGGGCGATCTTCAACCAAATTCTGAGATGGGCGTTTTTCAATAAAATATTGAAATAAAGCGTTCTTCAATCAAATTCTGAAGTAGGGTGTTCTTGAAAACTTTTCTGAGATATGGCGTTTTCGAACTGGCTGCCGAGATAAGTCGATCTTCCACTCAGCCATCGATATACCTATGTACAGCGCACTTATTTTTTTGAATTACAATGTGGTAAGCATTATTTCGATTAACTAATGATCCAGTCATAAAAACGTAAACAATTTACGACATATTTTAAGCATGAATTTCAATCCTCGTACTCTTAATATGCAGGGCTTGCTTTAAATATTAGAGAAAATTTTCTCAGGCGGCACAGTCGAGTTCGTTTGATATTTCGTCCAATATTTTTGTTAAATCCGTTTTGAAATTATTCAAGGTAATGTTATTAATATTACCTAGTTTGCTTGGAATACAGCCCCAAACTC